AAGTTGAGAGCTACAAAATGAGGATGAAATCTAGATTTTTAAAAATCAATGACATATTTTACGACAGATAGAGAATTCTATTGTACAACTAATTTTTTTTTTTGTCTTTTTCCTTTTTATCGGTACCGGGGATCAAACTCACGACTGCCTGCTTGTAAGGCAGGCGCTTATGCCACTGAGCTAAATCCCCAGCCCCTACAACTAATTATTTTAAAAGTGCAACAATGGTGCTCTAAATGAACTTGTTTGATCACATTTGCCCTCTTTATGTTCTTCTTAGATCTCTGAAAACTTGTCTTCTTTAGGGTGTGTTGTGGAACAGGGCCAGAGAAACACAGGTAAGAGAGGAACAATCCTAGGGGAATTGGTTAATTGAGTTTTGGATAGACACACCATTTCATTCACTGACTTTTCAATCAAACAATAGAAAGCCCAATATTTAATTCATTAAATGTAACAAAGCCTGGTTTAATTTTATACAGTGACAAAGTGTTTTATGTTGACTTCATAAAGGATTTGAGGTAAGATTGGTATAGCAGGTAGGATGTGGCAAAGATGGCTAGGAAAATAAGCAGGACCTGTCAACTATAAGGTCCCAGGACAGTCCAAACAATTCCTAGGATCCCACATGTGGAACTTCTCTCGGGCTCCCACAAGATGTGCAAGGCATCAAAGAGCCAGGCAGTGTCCACTCTCAGGACTGTACACATTAGCCCACTCTGTGTCTTCTAGACTGGGGTGTACATTTACTTTTGTTCTTTTTCTCTTGTTTGGCACAGTTTGTGCTGTAAACCTAGTTTTTGCATTACTGTTTAATTTCTCACTTTTCACACTATTTTTAGCCTGTCTCATCCAATTTTTTGTTCAATAAAGATCGTTAAGTACAGCTGCATATGTAATATTGATCTAGTGTGGAAGCAAGTCATGTAGCAAGTGTACTTAGAAAGAACAAGGACCTTTTGAAGAAGGGATTCTTGGTCACCTAAGCGAAGGTCATGCTTATACAGGAAAGGGATCTCCCTGTTTAGGAGGAAGCTGAGGTTTACCCTCTCCCTATGCAGAATGAGGAAGGAAGCCTAAATCTGGAGAGAAATAGCAGCAGACTCCGCCAGCCTGGGCACCCACAGTTCCGCATTTCATGCTCTGAAAGATTTCTGCCTCTGGTGAGGTTTTCTGCTTCTAGAGTCTTCAAGAGGTCTCTGTTCTCGAGTTTAACTAAATTTTTAGATGGAATTATGCAAGCACATTTCATTTTCCTGTTAGCTACTTTCACATTTACAAATCAAAGAACCTTGATGAAAACAATGGATCATCCTGTTATGACAGCTAATTTAGGTAGAAATATTATAGGTAGTTAGATGGGGCTACAGCCTCATGAAAGTCAATACAAGATGAAAACACATTATAAATATATTGGGGGCACATTTGTTGGAGACCAGGCCTCAAGATAGAGACACGATGACCAGGCCTACATGCCCCCCCCAGGGGATAATTGGTAACACCTGTCGAATAAAGTCGAACTCACCTATATCCTCACAATCTAACAATTAAGAGCATTTGACAGGAATTAACTCCTAATTTTTTTTATGTAATTGGGTAAAGCGCTGTTTTTTTTTAAAAACAGGCATTATATACACATAGTAGAAATTTCAAAAACAAACAAAAGTGTAATTTAAGAATGAAGCAGGTGTCCTCTCCACTAAGTTTGAACTCCTCTAATGTGCCCCGCTGTGGTCAATTATTTTTTCCATATATAGCCTACCTACCAACAAGGAAATGTGTCAACACATTTGATTTTCATAACACTGTAGCCTACTGTGTATATTGTTACACATCTTACTCTTTTCCATTTAACAATATTCCTTGGAGATAATTTTGCACACAGTACTTTTAAAAGTTTACATTATTTAATACTCGCACATCATCACACAATCCTCATAATTATCATCTTTAGTACTTACTTGTAAGAAGTTTAAGCAAATGATTCAGTCATTTCTTTAATAAATGTTTATGAAGAACTTGCCACATCTACAGAGCACTAAGATTAAAAAGATGGAGCCAGCACAAGCAGAGCTTGTGGAGCTTGTGCAGCTCAGTGACCCAAGGGCTGTCTGGTAAGTGCAAGGTCCTGAGTCTGATTCCCAGTACCAAAGAGCAAAAAATAAATTAAAAGATAGAGTCATGGCAGAGTGGAAAACAGAATTGGGTTTGCAGGGAGTTACAGACAGTCACTAAGTGCTAAGTAGAGAAACACAAGCATCCAGGGAGAAAAGGAAGGTGCTTTTAAGCCATGAACAAAAATGCTGAAGGATAAGTAAGAGTCAGCCCACAGGCAAGGCAAGAGAAACACACATGGAAGGACATAGCCGTAAGAAGCAGCACTGTGGTCTGGGTGACTGCAGAAGCTGGGAATAGTCTCCACCCTGTGATCTTTAAGTTGTGCCACATCTTCAATATGAATAATGCCAGGATGTGCACGTTGAAGCATATCTAATTTTCCCATATTTTGTAGTATTTCTTTGGCTACATTCCCAGAAATGAGTCTGCTGAGTCAAAATATAGGAGCACTCTAATCTGCTGTACATAGTCAAAAGGTCTCCCAAATAGGTCTCCACATGCCACTTTATGAGGACATTAGCATTTTCTGAGCAAAATCAATGTTCATTATCTTTGTGTCTTTATCATTAATTTGTTTTAACATATACTTCTTTAATTACTAGGTAAATGTCTTCATATATTTATTATTATTTTGATTTCTTCTTATGTAGTTTTTTGTTTACAAGCAATCATTGAGATTATATATTTTCTTTAACTGTTATAAGCTCTACTTATACTACAGATATTTAGGCTTTTATTTTTCATATTCGTTGCCAAAATATTTTTCTGGTTAGTTTATATTAAAAAAATTTTTACACATACAAGTTTTATAAGATATACCCAGTCACATCCATTATTTCTATTGCTTCTAAATTGAAAATTATTTCTGTCCAAAAGTTTAACAAGTACTTTGTTTTCTTCTGGTCTGAGTTTAAAATTTGTATATATAAATTCATTAATCCTTCTAGAATTCTCTTTGGGTATGATTCCCCCCACAACTGCCAATGAGTTATATGAACTTTCCCTTCACAGTTTTTTTTTTTTTATAATACTATTTTTTAGTGAGTTTCAGATTCACAGTGCAATGGAGAGGAAGACTCACATTGTTTGATTCTTACATTCTGAAACAGGCAGAACTGTGGAGACAAGGGAACACCAGTGGTTGCCTGGGGCTGTAGGAAGGAGGAGGACTGGGCAGAGCAGGGAGATTTGCAGGGCAATGAAACACTCCGTACGCTACTTCCAGAGTAGATACACGTTTGTCTAATCCCTCGGAACGTGCACCTCCAACAGTGAACTCTAACATACACATGGATTTTGGATGATAATGGAGCAATGAAAGTTCATTAACTATAGCAAGTGTGCTACTCTGGTGGGGGATGTTCACAGCTGAAACTTATGTATGTATGGAGCCTGGGCGTATGGGATGTATGCGGTTTTTTCCCTCTTATTTTATGGAAAAAAAATTTCATAACAAAATAATAGGAGAATAAGTGAATAGATTAAGTATTGTTATCTTTAGAGTACAAGATATGAGTATGAAAATTCTCCAAACGATATTAGCACACTGATTTTTCTTTCAAAGATGAATCACATTTAGGTATCAACTAATTGATCAACTGGAGCCAGTTTCTAGTCCCTTTGTGAAATGTGTCACCTCAGTTTAAAACAGACCTTGCCTACAAAAACAATTGTCAGCCTTTCCCATTAATGGAGAGATCCGCTGCTAACAGACCTTATTCTTGAAGCTTTCCAGCAAGGATTGTTTGGTGGTAGGGTGTTGGCCAGCACTATGGCTTCACTATGGGATGTGCAGGCCTCCGGGCCCTCCTTCCTTTGTGGGAACCCTGGCCCATTACTCAGGATAGCCTTGATCCCTGATCTCTCTGAAGGCCAGGTCACCTGTCTCAACATGGGATTTATTGCTGGATAAAGTAACTTCTTGCCTCACCAAAGCCTGACTGCAGGTCGTCACCTAGCTAACTAGCTTTTGAGAAAAGAGAAAAGCCCTATCTCAGAAAACCCTCAAACTCGAGGCTACTTAAGTGCAACTGGGGAGCTTATTAAACAGGAAGATTTGGGGTCCCTGTACGGGATTGCCCCAATGGTGGAAACATTCCGGATTTCGTGTTTTTCTAGGTATATGAAGTGCTAACAAAATTGCCATGAGCAGCTTTCCTTCTCTTACGAGACACTAGCACCTGCTCCGCTCGCGCTTATGAAAGTGGGTGGAGGCGAGACTCGGGCGCGCCTCGCCCCGGGTGAGGCCCACGACCACGCCAGCCACCCCTAGAGCCCAGCAGCTTAAACGGCGCGGGGCCTACAATCCCAGTATGGGTCCCCGAACGCCACTCAATGGAGGGAAGCAGTGCGGGCCGCGGCTCAGTCCTCGGTGCCAGCTCTCCTCTCCAGCTTCCCGCGAGGACAAACCGCGCTCCCGGCGGATGGGGGCTGCGCCGGCCACAGGAGCCTCAGCAGCCCCACGCTTCGCGCGGCCTCGACCAAGCCCACGGCGTCCTCGGGCCGCCCAGCCTTCTCAAAGCGCCGCCTCGCCCAGTGTCCCCGCTGCTCTCCCGGCGGCTTCCAAGCACGCGTTCCGGGGAATACGTCCTCCACGCCAAGGGCCAGCCGACAGAAGAGGCGACAGCGGAGGAAGAAGGTTCTCGAGTGCACGGCGCGCGATTGGCCTAGCCGGGTGGGTGGGCTGAGCCTCGGCCTAGGCGGCGGAGCGAGCATCCAATGGGCGAGGCCTCGCGACTGGCGGAGCTCTGGAGGTGGGCGGAGCCGCTGCCTGCTGGGCGGTCCCGGGGCGAGGGCGGTCCCGGGGGCGGGGCGAGCGGCGGTGGGAGGTGAGCAGCGTCTCAGTCAGCCCCTCTGCTGCGGAGCTGAGGGAGCCCGGTACGGTCCGCCGACGCGAACGCCTGTTTTTTGCTCAGCACGGTTCGGCTGGGCTCGGCTCGGCTCGACTCGGTTGGCCTCGGCTTGCGGCCCCGGCTGCCTGGGCTCACTAGGGCTGGGGCTGCGGGCGCCGGCTCACGGGTCGGACCCGCGCCTCGCCGGGCTGTTCCAGCCGGGCTCCGGCTGCACGCTCGGGCCGCCGGAGCCGGAGCCTTCATGAGCCCAGAGGATGTCAGGGAAGCACTACAAGGGTCCTGAAGTCAGTTGTTGCATCAAGTACTTCATTTTTGGCTTCAATGTCATATTCTGGGTGAGTGAGCGCTTCGCCTTAGCGGCCGAGCGCCGCGGTCCTTCTTGGGGGCCGGCCGGAGCGGGCCCAGGCGGGCCGCGGGCGCGGTGCGGTAGGACCGGGCGGGCGGGCGCTGCGGCCGGCGGTGCCCGCGTCCTGGCTTTGTGTGGGACGCGGCTCGCGGGGCTGGCCGGGCTTGCACGGATGCGCGGTAGGCGTGCGGGGCGGAGGGGGTGCTTAGTCCGTCACCGTCAGCTGAGGACTGGTCGCGGCCAGCAGGGCTTCAGCTATTGGGCTCCGTCCGCCTCCCCAGGAGGGAAGCAGCGGGCGCGTTTTGAAAGCTCTTAGGGAGATGCAGAGGGAAGGTGCGTGAGGTGGGTTCCACCGAGGGGCGGGGGCGGGAGCCGGACCGCGGGGCTCTGCGGTGTCTGCTCGGCTCCGCGCGCTCTGCTTGGCCGCCGATTGTAATTCGGCGGGGACTTTGCTCTTTTGTTTTGATTCTTTGCGGGGAGCTTACAAACGTTCAACAACCAGACAAAGAGTTGTGATCTAGGACGAGAGGAAAAGGCAGCTCGGAGACCGCGGTATTTTCCTCCCCTGGCTCATGCTGGCCCGTTCTCCTCCGCACCCGGCGCCCCTTTCCGGGCAGGGAAGATGGAGCCGTCTGCGAGGTCCCCAAGTTGCTCATCGAGGCTGGTAAATGATGATCACAGCAGTCTGAACATACCTTATCTGTTTGGGTCTCTTTTGATTTTGGCTATTTGCTATAAATACATACATCTGTGAGAACCATTGTCAATACATACAGCTCTTTTATATTGGTGTTTTCTACCGCTCTTTTACCAGGTTGTATTCTCTTTTTATAACAGTGTCTTGTGTTATTTCAAGCGTGTTTCGAGATGGAAGGGATCATTTGGGGTCAGCATGACATCTGCCCTGGGGACTGACAAAGATTCGTGAGGGGACATGTGAATGGAGACCGTATCCAGTCTTTCACTTGGAACGCTGTGGCGCGTGTGCGTGTTTGATTGTCAGTGAGTGTGTATCATTTTGGGGAGAAGCTCCCCCAACATGCAAGTGTAGCCCGCAGAAATTACTTTCTTTGCTTCCTTCCCCCACTTTTTCTGGAAATACTTAAAAGAGGTAGGTAGTTGTATTTCTGAATAAGGTGTTATGAATTTATTAGGACTTGGTGACTTTAAGAAGTGAGGACTGCTGAATTGGGACTGGCCTTTGCTGGGGCACTGAGTCCAGCCAGGCCTTTGGATTCTACTTGAACGCTTCCAAAGTTGCACTGCTTAGCTACAAGCAACAAAGAGCACCGAGAGGCTCAGTGCAATTTCATAGCAGGGAATGAAAAGGAAATAAAAGGATTTGGGCCCTTTTCCCTGAATAAAAGGATTGGGACCCATTTCCTTGACGGTTTAGTGTAATATTGTGAGTTCACAGAGGCCAATTTAGTGGTTTCTCTGGATTAGGTTGCAGCAAAAACCCTAGAATTGTGGAAACCTTCGAAGAACTACAGACTGCTTACATGAAGAGTTTGGGAACAGAGCTACATCTTGTCCGTTTTGGAAAAATCTTTTTTCGGGGGAGGGGGGTGGTTTTGTGGGAAGCTTGGAAGTTGGCAAAAGTTGTGGAACTAAAACAGTAGCCCCAGGCAGAATTGTTAAGGAGGTGCTCCTTGTGCAGGCCCTAACCTTACATACTTTATACACATCCTCCCTCCTGTGCCCAGAGCTTTTCTGTGTGTACCACCACATAACTTTCCTATCCTGCTCTCTGTTCTGAATTTACCCATATTTAAATTTCCCGGATTATCAGGGCCATGGTGGCTAGTGGTGATTAGCAGGAAGACACCCATTTTATTTGATTGAAGCAATTCAGGCTAAAACATTAGTGACTGAAGCACAGGAGTTAATAACTTGGCAACCTGCTTCAAAAAGTTGCAGACCTTTTCTCTTTAGAGTCGCTCGCTATTCTGTCTATGGTTGCCAGAGAAGGCAGACTCAGTGCTGCTTCTTACAGATCAGGGTTCCTAATCTTCTGTTTTCATGCTGATGGCGAAAATATATCTGAAATGTTCTGGAAGAATAAAATTGAACATTCAGTGGCACCATTGCTGACAATGAATTCTTAATGGATTATCACAATCCCAAGACTAAGTGGGGTTAGTCTTTATAATTGTAAAACTTTATAATTGTAGTTCATAGGTGTGATTTGGCCGGGTGCATCTGAGCAAGTCTGATTTGAGGTCTCTGAGGCAAGTGTTTTTTGTTAGTTGACTGCTTTGAGCCTCAGTTTTTCACTACAGTCAAGGAGTTGGAGTTGTAAAGTTCTTTCTGGCTCTGACGAAGAATGGGTCTGTTGAGTTCTGATATGCTGAGGAAGAAAAATATAAAGAGATGGGGACTAATATATGGAAATAAAACATACTGTACTGGGGCACTTTTTAAAATACAGACTTTGTTCTTACTGAGAGTTAGCTGAAGACCAATTTTAATACTTTCATTTCTTCCTCAAAGATCTTTTCATTAAAAAAAAAACTTACTTTTTGGTTTGTTCAGTTATTGGTATGGTATGTTTGCTTCCTTTTCCCTATATTGTGAATCTCAAATGTAGTCTTGTGAGTCATTACATATGTTTTTATTATTAGAATTACAGTTTCAAGTGTAAAAGCAATCCTTTTATATAACGATTGTAATGATATTCTGAATAACAAAGAACATTTGTACAGATTCCCTTCTCATTACTTATCACAGGATGGTAGGGAAAACCTGATTTTCCCTATGGTATATTGGAACAACTCAAGATTGAGAACATTGATTCTTTTGAGGGTATTATCATACAGTTATATTTCTCAAAAACTCTGATGTTGCTTTGGGGTGGAAGAAGGAAAAGGTACAGAATCCTTACATTCCATTAACCATCATTAATAAATGTTTTAGACCTTGCCTCTGATACTGAACTGTTTCTAGCTAGTAAATTAACCTCAACATTCTGGTTATTTATTGCTGAACCATACTCTCAGACTTAGTGGTTCACAGTTCTGTGATTGGCCAGGTTCACCTGGGTTACTCCTTGGTGCTGTTTTGAGGGAGAAATGTCTGACTCTGGAGTTATCTGAATGTCTTTGGGGCAGGATGGCCTAAATGCTGCTCCTTCTGGACTGGCTGATGCTAGTGCAGACTTAGCCATAGTGGCTGGCTGGAACACCAGCATATGCTTTCTTCATATCACTGAGACTAGAAAAAGCAGCTTCTGGCCACCTGGCCTAGTGTCACTGTCATCTGTTTCACATCTGTTAAAATGTCCATAGACATTCTCAGTTTCAAGCGGGTGTAGAACTAGCGCCTACTCGTTGATGGACAGGTGTCAAAGTGAAATTGTAGAGATTGAATGAAGCTATCTTTGGAAAATGTAATCTGCTTACCTGTGCCTTAATTTTTGGTTTATAAAGGAAGATAATATCTAACAGATTTGTAGTTTCAAGGATTCACTAAAATAAACACTACTCAGCACAGTGTCTCAATTATTTACCAAATGGTGAATAATTATTGTCTCTAGATACCATTCTAGTTCCATTGTGGGCTATAGAACTTTCAGAATGCTTTAGTCTGGTACCTTGGCATCATTACTACCTGGTGATAATCATACCTGCAAAGGAGGCAAATGGATTCAATAGATTTTATTTTCACTTAGTTGGAAAAAGTTCCCATAGTTTAGTGGAAGTTTGAAGGACTTGGGGGAGAGCCAAAGCATTTTTCTGTTCTCTGCTGTACCAGGAAACAGTCTTAGGTACTTAAGACCAAATTTGTCTTTTGATGTGCTTTCAAATATTGTATTGTATTACAGGTGGAGATTATCCAGAGTTGATAGCAGGATGTTGCATCTGATTTGCTTCCACAGGGCTTAAATTCAGAGAGGGAGATTTAGGGCACTTTAAGAGGGGCATCAGGTAGCAAGCCTTATCTTATGATTCACTGTGAATTGCAAGATGTTCTGGAATGATGATACATCAGCAGTTTATAAGTCATAATTTTTGTTTTAATTTGCTAGACATCTGTTGGGTTCGATGACAACCATATGGGAGTCTAAATTGCCTTTTGAATTACAGGAAGGTGATAGGAAGAAAGCTAAATATGGTTATGGAAGTGTCATGTGGGAAAAGTGTGAGAAAGGTATATGGACCTCGGTGAGGAAGATAACTAAACATTGACTTGCTCATTCTGACTATTATTTTGTGGGGCTCTGAGAAGGTGCCAGAGCCTTCTCCCTTTATGATAGCTTAACGATGGAAATGAAGCCAAGTTGGAAAAGTTGGAAGACCAAATAATATTCCAGCTCCCCCCCATGAAATCACTCAGGTACAGTCATTTAAATGGGTCATTTTATCCTAATGTTCAAAGTAACAGGTGGTAGTCCCTGGCAAAAGGTAAAAGCAATGTGTGGTTTCTGTTTTCATTCTTCTTTTTTTGTTTTGAGAAGAAGTCTTGCTATATTGCCCAGGCTAATCTAAAATCTTAGGTTCAGGCAGTCCTCCTGCCTCAACCTCCCATGTAGCTGGAATGACAAGTATATGCCACCTTACCGAGTACAATGTATATCTCAAACAGAGTTTTACTATTGTGATGTTTTCTTTGTAAGCATCTCAAAGTGTCCAACCAGCATATTATAACTTTATGAATAATAAAGGAATTGTAGTACAGAGATGTAAAGCGACTTTGGCAACATCGAAGAGTCTACTAGGGTTCACTTTTGGAGCACTGAGTATCTTCGGTAACTATAGCCCAGGATTCTTGGTTTGAAACTTACTTTAGAAGATTCTTGCTGGGGATTTAGGTCAGTGGCATAAGTGCCTGCCTGGCAAGTGCAAGGTCATGAGTTTGATCCCCAGAACCTAAATAAATAAATAAAACATCAAGAAAGTCATTTACATTTGTTCATGATTGAAAAGCGTTACAATTTTCTTTTGTGTGCATCAACATCATCCATAAGCACAAAAATGTTAGGATGAAATT